GTTACCACATTTTTAATCACCAAACGTACATAACATGCTTTTCAACTATGTTTTATGCAAAATCATGGCATAAGCAAATACTTGATTATCTTTAATCATTCCACAAAACATATACTTGATTACTTTAGGTAATCTCATGCCTCACGCAAAAGTTATAAAGCATAAAGCCGTCTTCTCACCTTAATGAAGCTTATGAAGTTCTAGCCTTCCCGATTTAGCTCCCGTGAAACTCCGGCGAACTTCAACGAACTCCGGCGACAACTCCGGCGACTCTTTCAACTCCGTGAAAGTTCCTTGAATACCTTAGACAAGTTACTAACAAGGTTTTATCATCATAAAACCCATAGTAGTACAAATAACCCCCAAAAGGTTATTTTTCGGCGAACCGGTCCCTTTGGCTTCTAAGTCCATTCTTGGGCTTAGAACCACCTTCCAACCCCTCGTTCTACACATCCCAACGTGTAGAACAATACTAGGGTGTGAAATATGATTGAATAATCATATAAGATGATTAAAGAAAACGAAATGGGGTTAATGGAGTCCTTACCTTGCTAAACACAAGTTTTGCTCTCCAAAACCAACTTTTCCTCTTCTCTTTTCCCCTCCTTCTTCCTCCTTTGTTCTTGGTGCGTGAAAGGATGAGGAAATGGAGTATTTCAGACCTTCTCTCACTTCTTTGAGTAGGTTAACCGAGCTGTAGGAGTTGGTATGATTGAGGATGCCTTTTTGGCATTTCTCATAAAAATATCTTGGCCAAGGACCCACTCTCATGTTGATTGGTCTCCCAATCAATTCTTGATTGCTCCCCCCTGATCTTGTGCGGCTCCTCTGGCCATTCCCAGAACTAAAAACGTGGGTTGGCCCCCACTTATGTGGGAGGTCAACCCTTTGTGTCCCGGAGTGTACAATCGGTCCCGAAAGTTGTATTTTCCGGACCGTTTTAAGTATATTTCATTTTATCGGGTCAAATAAAATATAACATTTGTTCCCAATCCTTATTGGGCCTTAGAATCAATATGATTCCCCAACTTTAATTTAGAAATCTCCGGACTCCCTTTTTGGGTTGTTGTCAGATAAATTGCCGATACCGATAATTTGGCCCCGTTTGACCAACCGGTCAACTCTATGCCATTGTCATGGCCCAATTAGGATATTCATCACCATATCCATATTATCTAGTCCAAGATTAATATAATATGTGGTCCCGATAATATCGGGCGGCCCCACATCCGGTGTGGGTCCCACGTGAATTTTACTATTCACGTAATAGAAATGATAAAAATTTACAATCACGTAAAAATGCTTTTATACATTTCTCGAGGTTCAATACATAATTTGGTACAGTACAAATACTCGGGGGCAGTGTTACAAAATGTGAATAGCCTTGGCCTTTTGTTTGGATGAGTGGGGGTGGTAACCAGAGTGGTGAAGGTGAATCAGCTAGCTGGATGTTTTGTGTAAACCTTGATTCCCTTCTGTTCCACTAGGTTCCAATATATCAGGGTTTATTGTCATCTGGTGCCACACTTGCTCTTCCCGCACTCCTTCTGTATTTATAGACTTTGTTGTTGAATCTTATTTGTTGGCAGAGTGATCCAATCTTGATCGTTGCTTGATCTACTTGCTTTGTTCCACTTGACTAGGTAGCATGGTTGATTCTTGTCTTCTTGTGACACGGATCATTTTATCATCACTCAGCTTGATTCTTCATTTCAAGGCAAAGATAAGATGATTTATCTTTATCTTTTTAGCTTACTGGAATTTAGTATCTAGGCCGAGTGTTGTTCAATGCTTCCTCAAGATAAGATTACTTGCTTTTAGTAAATAATGTTACCAAAGAAATTTTGTCACATAATTTCTTGTAACATTATTTTCTATACATTCTGTCATTTTGACTGCAAGTGGGTCTTCTGTCTTCTTGTTTCTGTGCTAAGAGAAAAATAGTTGATATCGAATTCTTTATCGGAATACCTCAACAGAATACCTTACCAGAATACCTATGAGGTCTTCTGTTCTGGTGTTAACAGAGAACCACCTCTGTTGTTGAGGTTCTCTGTTATAACCATGACAGAATGTCTTCTGGTGATCCAATAGAAAACCAACTCTGGTGTTTATCAAAGATGATCAGTTCTGATAACTGTCAGAGTTGAAGTTCTCTAGTATGATCAGAAGGTCATTGAAGGTTCTCTTATTAAGTGTCCGATTTCATAAGGGTTTCAGTTGACTCTTTTCGTACCTTTTCTATCTGTTTCTTTTCTTTTTGTTGTATGGTACATACCTTCTCTTTTTAGTACTTTCTGTTTTTCTTGAGTGCTTTATCACTATTGAGCACATTGCAATAAACAGTAGTAGAACAAATACAAGTGCTGGTCTATTACAGGGATAACATAGTTTTTAGCATCATCAAAACTATTGTCTTGTTTGATCATCATAATCTATGGGACCTAACATTGTGTATTTTATTCCCTAAATAGGAGTAACTGATGTCATTTTTTGGCAGAACCAGACTTTAAATATATATATATATATATATATATATATATATATATATATATATATATGGTAGTATTTTCCAAGGAATCCAAGCTTGACAATGAATGCTTCTATTTGGGGAATTTTCCCTACTCTATATGTGCATGCACCGACCTCTGATGCCTAGGTCCGCCACCGGATTTGTAATCCACAGTTAAGTTTGGCTCAGAAGTCCACCATTTTTATCTATCACGTTGGTGATCGAGTTCCCTCCGAATTTGTATGGAGACACGTCGATGCTTTATCTCCTCGTTGCTATTTTTCTATCCCAATATTCTTCAAATTGTAGCTAGCGCACATACATGCGCATATCATTTGTTTATGATGAATTTACCCATTCAGATTGGTCATCTATATAAATCTAGAATTTTATGCTAACTAATTATGCTACCCTCCATGGATTCTTGAATGCAGGGCAGTTGTTGGACATGTCGAGAGCTTCTCTCACTATCGCCCTTGTGCATAGGTTCTTGTTCATACGGAAACATCTCATTTCTACCCGATCTTCCTCCATTGATTCTGTGGATTGAGCTTGGATATTACCTCTTCTACTTCCTCCCTTCGGTGAGGTAGCAGAATATCCAATTTTCGAGCTCATTTTTGGGGTCTTTGGCTTTGTTTCGCACAAAAACTCCTACGCAAACACTATTCACGTGAAGAAGGTCAACTCCACTCTAGATCGATTCTCTTGGCCAATCTTTGATTTGAAGGTAGTTCTAGCATCCCCTAGCTGTGGGGATTAAGCAAATATAAGTTCTTTCATCATCGGCCAACTTTGAATTTTGTCATCTTCTCTAACGGTCTCCTCCATTTGTACGGAAATAAGCTCAAACCGAGGTAACATCTCTTATGCTTCTCTTTGAGGGGGTTGCTAACTCTTAGCTGTCCCTTCTTCCATCATGGGGGGAAAAGAAGAAGTCCCCCTCACGGCCAATGAAGACTTCATCTCGGATTCGAGCCAAGTCCCAAGCCAAGGAAATTGATGAGGCCGTGAATACTTCACACCTCCAAGATGAAGACTCCGTAGCACACGTTGCTAATATTGAGGTTGCTAGCCCCTTTAATATTGTTGTTGATAAGGGAACTCCTGCCCGTGAGGATAGCACTTCCGAATTGAGTAAAGCACCTGTCCATGAAACTAACCAAATTGTCACGCCTTCACTTACTGTCGAGGCTACACCCACCCAAGAGGTCAACCATGTGGACTCACACCAAATTGAGGTAATTCCTCCTTCTTTTGATGATGTTCTAATTGAGGAAGAACACCCGGATTATGTTATTGACCCCACAGTTCAAGATATCTTAGACAAGGACTCCACTCCTATTAGCCCAACTATTGTCACCGAAAGTGAGGTTGTTGTACAAGACAAAGGAAAGGGGCTACTCGTCCCTTTTCAAGACAACATTGATAATGTCGCGGCATTTGAAGGCCAAAGAAGCAAGCCTCACTCTAAATGGGGTAAACCCGGATCTACTCCTACATTTGTTTCATTGTTTAAAGATAATAGGCAGCCGGACAAGGGCATGAAACTACGCTATATTGAACCAAAGGGAGATATCATTGATCTTACCGACCGCAAAATGTCCTCTATGATTGAAATTTGGGGTTATTGCCTAATGGCTTACTTTGATGGCCGTTTCCCCGGACTTAAGAATATAGATGATATGGTGCACAAATGGGGAGTGCCTTGCCGTGTTAGATCACATGATAGAGGATGGGTCATCTTCAAGTTCCAAAATGAAGAGGATAGGGCCAAAGTACTAATGGATGGACTTTACTCTCTCTTTGGGAAAACAGTCCACCTTAAAACATTATCCGAAGATTTCTCTATGGATGATGATGAGTTCCTAAAGGTGCCAATTTGGGTCTTATTCCCTCATTTGCCTATGAGAATTTGGGAAGAGGAGATTATAAGTGAGGTGGCTTCTAGAGTTGGAACACCAATCACTACGTGTGATACTTAAGAATTTGATTATTTATTTTAGTTTATGTTTCGGGACGAAACATCTTTTAAGGAGGGTAGAATGTGACACTTCAAAAATTTAAATAAAAATAAAAATAAAAATAATTTTTTTTAATCAGATAAAAATGGCCGATAAAAGAAGTTACATTTTAGTATAAAATTAATTTTTATAACTATTTTAGATTGTATAATATACAAAAGATAAACTAAATAAATAAAATAATACATATATATAGATATATATATATATATATAGATATACGTACGTAGTAATAGTAATATAACATACATAATATTACATACGTAATATAACTAAACCTACGTATAACTAATATATAACTAAATATAATTATAATACTCCTACATACTAAGTTACGTATACTAATATACATACAAAGTTACATTATCCCAGTTGACTCCAAATACTCCTACGTAGGTGACATTATCCCATTTGACGGCAAAACTCCTACGGGAGTTAAACTACCGACGGGGTACGGAAGAAGCCGATTGAGTCCTACACAAACTAAAACCCTCATCTTTCCCTATAAATAATAGGCCAGAACCTACGTTTTCTTCATCCCAAAAAGCTACGAAATATACATACATATATATATATATAAAAATTGCGACCCATCGTTTTAGCCAGAACCAAGCAGTGAAAATACTTCCCAAACCTTCCCCTTCGTGATACGAATCCAACGGAAAAAGAATCGTCGAAATCGATCGTGAAACGAGGAAGAAAAGCCTCGCCGGAGTTTCGCCGGGGAAAAACATTTCGACGGAAAACGGAGAAGAGGGAGGAGCTGCCGCCGCCGCCGTACCACCTCTGACCTTCGCCGCCCTGCTACCACCATTTTCGGCCGTTCGCTCGTCCAAACGGAGTAAGTTCTCCCCCCCCCCCCCCCCCCCTGTTTTTCCCGTTCTTCCGGCGATGTCACGAGGAAGACAACCCAGCTGAGCTGGGGTCCCTCTTGGGCCTAATTTTTTGGGCCAGAATAATTTAATTTGGCCCAGTTCGGACCAGTTGCAATAAAAATTAAAAATAAAATAGTAAATGAAATAAATAAAATCTGGAAAAATATAAATTAAATACCTAGTATAAATATACATATTCGGACCAACCAGAATTGGAAAATAAATTTTTTAGCTATTTTTAATGGATTTAAGGGTAATTGGGCCAAATTATACACATTTAGTAAATAATTAGCTAAGTGACGAAAATAATTATGAAAAAAATATTGGAATAAACTAGGATAAATATATGACTAACTAGGACCTTATGGACCATTTATAATTAATAAAAATAAGGATTAGTATATTTAATTGTAATTAAACCGATTAATAGATATATGAAATTAAAGGAATAATATGGAAAATAATTATAAAATAAATATCTGGACAACCTAGGTCGAATATAGACCCAAAATATATTATGGACGGTTACTAATTTATAAAGTCGATTCTTAGTCTATTTATTTAAATTAGGCCATATAAGACTAGTTAAGTAATTAAATAAGGAAATATTAATATTAATCGTGATTATTGAATAAAAATTTAGATGTTGTAGTTAATTATATTCGAATATTTTATTTAATATTAGAATTCAAATATTGTAATTAATGACTGAATTAATAATGGTAATTTGATTAATAAAAAGTGATTAACTCGAATAATTAATTAATTAATAAATTTGAATAAGGAAATAAAAAGGGGGGAAAAAGGATAAATGATTGAAATAGAATAAGTGACTAATTATATTATCTTAATTAAAAAGGTGAATACTTAGAGACCCAAATTGAAGAAGAGAATTAGGAGCATCGGGACTTAAGGTAAGTTTCACGTCAACCGATATTAGTTCTTTTTCTTCGTGATTTCTTTTACATATTTTTGTGTGCATATTTGAGAATTGAATTTATGTGTGCTGAATTTGAATATCATTATATAAAAGGATTGTATTTGAGATATTAGTTTGTTGATATGAGTTATTTTGGAAGATTTTGTAATAGTACGTAATTTGTTATCTTTGTGGGAGTTTAATGAAAAAGGAAATTCTTGAAGTATAAACTTCGATTGATTTTGAGAAAACAAAGAGAAATAAATATTTTCATAAAGGGTGAGCATCACGAGAGAAATCCGTGGTGTTGGTTTTCCACGTCCCTTAAAATGTGGAGGATGGTTAGGTCTACTACTACGCAATTTTTGGTTTGTGTTGGTTTGAGGTGAATTGTCGGTCGGTAGAAAACATCCCGGCTTTTGAGTAGTAGTGGTAGTAGTAGCTCCTAATCATTCAGGTTTTGAGGTGGGGTAGTTGGTAGAAAACATCCCGGCTACCCGGATCGACTTACTAACCCGGAGGGCTTGGAATACCTTTAGGGGGTGTGCACACTTAAAGTAGTTGTTTCCGTTTCCAAGGAGCAGTTGTGGTACCGGCGATAGTTCCGGGGTGGCCGTACATAACAACGGATCACCGGGCTCAACCATAGTGTTGAGCACCGCCCTTCTAAATTACTAGGAAGTTAGATACAAAGTGATTTTGGGAGAAATTCAAAAGAGGAGAATTTTGGTGTTTCATGTATTTTGGAATTATTATGGTTTACGAGTTAATTATGTGAATGGGAGTTTATATAGATATCGTTTACTTATGATTTATGGTTTATAAAGTGTTGAAAAATATTTTATGAGGTTGTACGAATTTTATATATAGTATTTATTATTATTTTAAAAGGTTAGGTGGAACTTACTTAGCATTATTGCTAATGTTTGTTTCTTTTATTTTTCTTTCTGTACATGATTTTTGTTCAGGTGTTGAGTTGATCGATGTTGAAGTTGATTTCGAGAGAAGAGCTTCCGCTAGAAAACATTATTAGTAAATCATTGTAAATTTCTTTTTCAATAACTTTAATCAACGAGCTTTTGATTTTGAAGTTTAAGTTGTTTTAGCATGTGCACTCGGTTAAGAGAGAACCGAGTGTGGCGGTAGCACCCCTATTTCCCTTTGAATTTTCCGCTGCACATTTTGTGATGTTTTCAAATAAAGTTAATAATATTTTCCAATAAATCATTATTTAAATGTATTTTTGGGTGGGAAATTTGGGGGTGTTACACTACGGATAGAGTCACACTTGAAAGAGCAAGATCATCATTTACTAGGGTCCTTATTAAGGTGGATGCTTCTAAACCACCCCCCCCCCCTCCCCCCCCCCCCCCCCCCCCTTCAATTCCAAATCAGGCTGCCAAACGGCAAACTACACACGCAAAGGGTGAGGTATGAAACGTTCCCTAACTATTGTTTTAATTGTAAATGTTTTGGCCACCATTGTTTGACTTGTAAGGTATTAGCCGAGAAAGAGAGGAAAGAGGCTGAAGCTAACAAGGTGCATCATGAGGCTGAAAATGGTGCTCCAAAGGAAATTGTTGTAGAAAAAGTCCAAGACAAAGGCAAGCAAGTCATTATGGAAGACGATGACAAGTATCCTCGGCCTAGCAAGTCCCCATCAAAGGAGCATCCGTTTTTCAAGCTTCTAAAATGTGTTAAATATGGGAAGAGAAGACCAAAGAAAGGGGAGAGGGCTAGATCCCCCGGGTACACTACACAAGATGAGGAAGATGATCAAGATGACCAAACCGTAAGAAGTGTGAAAGATTTTGATGAGATATACTCGGATGAAGCAATTATTGACATGGACCCGGCATTGGATTTTTCTAGTCCAACTATCAAAGTCAAGCATGTAGAAGAGGTGGAAAAAGAAGCAACTATTATCAAACTTGGTCACAACTTGAACTTAGTTGAAAAACATGATCCTGGTGTATCTTTTACAAAGGAATGTCTTGAAAGCTTACCGGATGTTACACAAGTAGACCAAGGGTATGCTTTCGGCCCATCATTTATGAGAGGAGTTTATAGACATTATCTTAATAGATTCTTTGAAGGGGGCTGCCCAAGAGGAAACTCATGCAAGGTGAAGGATCCTAGGAAGGTCAAACTTGATCGAACCCGTGTGGTACATGATATAAGAGATGCCTATCTTGATGATGTCATTGCTAAAGTGGAAATTTTTGAAGACCAGCCGCCAAATATCCATCTTAGGCACCTTGATGAGGTCAATGAAATGATGGTTAGACTTGACAACTATCTAAGTGTTCAAAATCAAGCTTCGAGCACCAAAGCCATCAATTTCACTCAAGAATGTCTAAGATCTCTACAGGGAACCATTCCAACCGATGAAGGGTATGTCTTCACTGCCTTTGGCCGAGGGAAGGAATGCAAGGAAAGGATGGAGGAGGCCTACCACCAAATCTTCTTAATGACACTAGTAGAAAAATGGTCTATAGTGACACTAAATTAGTGTCACTAAAAGTTTTAGTGACACCATAAAAGTGTCAACGAATGGTTGGAACTCTGATACTAGAAAATGTGTCACTAAAAAGTATCAGTAAATTGTGACACGTTAGTATCATAAAATATAGTGATACATTTGCATTGGTATACTTAACGATATTTTGATATCATATAAATTAGTGATATCACTAATGTTACAAAAACATATGATACTCTTGCGCCATCCAGATTTATGATACTTTAATGTTTATAAAAATTATGACATGTTTTTGTCAATCCTTTTTTGATACTATAGTATCAAGTATTAAACAAGTTTAATACTCTTTTTGCACCACCATATATCCACCTAAAAGTTTAATTTTTAAACTTGTAAACAAATATAAAACAAATTCATAATCATTCAAAGTATTCCATAACTATCATATAGATTCAAATCAAAGTCAATTCAACATGAAAATTCAAAGATAAGTTATCCTAGCTTGTTTTCAAAACAAAGCAAAATCCAAAATACCAATATTCTTGAATTGTAGTCTAGCTACATAAAGTACATCATAATCATCAAAATCTTATGTCCTTCCAACCATTTGTACTGCTTAACAGCCATAATGCTACGAGCTTCACAAAAATCCATCTAGCACAGTTATTCAGGTTTGTCACTTCAGCCTGTAAACATAATAATGATAACTATTTCAATCATCACACTACAGAAAATCCTAATTACTGAAAACTACATTCTTAACACACTTATCTCAATAAATAAAATTTCAACTTACTCATTCAGTAGGTTTGCTGCATATGAGACCCATTCTTCACGTATTTGCAGTATATCATCTTCAGAGTACTCATTGACTGTGGAGAACTAAAGCAACACCAAAACAAAAACTTAACATTGCTTTTAAAAAATGCTACAAAACCAAGAATGAGAACCTAAAATCATTTCATGTGTAGGAAAAAAACTGAAGCATCACACAAAAATAAGACATATGAAGGATTGCATTCTGGTAAACACATTCAAGAGGAAACACAATAATCTCACATGACATATCTCTCAAAATCCAAACAATAAATGGGTAGAATTCTAGTTTTCGTTATTAAGAACAACCTAGCCAATTGAGGGCTACTGCCCTCCAACAAGATGAGTCAATGCTGAAAACAGAAAGTAAATAAAGTTTAACAAACTGAACACAGTTCGGGCAGATTGTGCTCTAAGCATGCATATCACATTACTAGCTATGGACAACAAGTCTTTTTTTATTCATCCACCCCTATTCATCCACCCCTAAGCACATGACAAAAACTTGCTATGAACATGACCAATAAATCAATAAATTTGACTCACATTATTCTTCAACACATCAACATCACCAATAATATCTTTCATGTACTTCATTACGAAGTACCCACACTCCAATGATCCTCTTTGCTTCGGGCACTACATACAAACATTTAAATTTGAATCTTTTAAAGTTTTAAAAATAATGTATTTCAAAAATCAACTATTTAATGACATGGATATACCTTACATGTGATCCAGTTCAATTTCAACCTATCTTTTGACTTTAAAGCATGACACATTTGCACTCCTCTGAAAACACATAGTTAAGTACACAATTAGTTATATATATGAAGTCACAATGACTAGTGTAAGACTGTGACACTTCAAAAATTTAAATAAAAATAAAAATAATTTTAATCAGATAAAATATTACGAAAATAACATTTTAATTATTAATTGAGTCAGACAAAAATTCAACAGTTGTAACATTCTAATCAGATAAAATTTTCAAGTTTACGACGTTTTAGTCAGATAAAAGTAATCCGATAATAGATGTAACATTTTAGTATAAAAATAATTTTATATATAACTTTTTAAGTTGTATTATACAAAAAGTACAATAATACGTAGTATACTATTGCAAACAATATAAAAATATATTGTTTTATAAAATTAAACTAAACTACCTACGTGCGTACTACTATATAAAATACTCCATTTGCTAACAATATAAAAATATACATACGTACGTATTATACTACTATTATACTACTACTACGTAATAATATAGACTTATACTCCTACGGGAGATAAACTATCAACCGGAGATAACTACGGAAGAAGCCAAATGAGTTCAACTCTAACTCTAACATCTCATCCTAAAACCCTCATCTTTCCCTATAAATAATAGGCTAGAACCTGCGTTTTCTTCATCCCAAAATCTGAGAAATATACATATATACGTGTATATATATATATTTTCGACCCATCGTTTTAGCCAGAAACAAGCCCTGAAAACACCCCTCAAACCTTCCCCTTCGCGAGACGAATCCAACGGAAAAAGAATCGTCGAAAACGGTCGTGAAACGAGGGAGAAAAGCCTCGCCGGAGTATTCGCCGGGCTAACCGTAAAAACGGAAAACGAGGAGGAGGGGGTTGCTGCCGCCGCCGCCGTACCACCTCTGATCACCGCCGACCCAGGAGGAGCCGCTACCACCGCCGTTCACGTGCCCACGAGGTCAGCCCCCTTCCCCTGGGACCCTGCGTATTGTCGTCGACTTCACGAGGAAGAAGACATGTTCCGATCCTCTTCCTTTTATTTTTTTCTTGGGCCGTTTCAACTACATTGGACCGAACTATTTTCATTATTTTGGGCTGGACCAAACTCATAATAATAATAATATTAATACTAATAAATATGGATTATTAATAATGATTAATTATTGAGTATAGATCCTGGATATTAAGTTTTATACATTCTGATTATGAGACTCCAGATTTTATAACTTAATAAGTTAATAAAGCTATTTTTTTACAAATTAAATTCGTAATTAGGATAAAATATGGATTTAGCAATTAATAAACAATTCTAGATTTTAGAGAAAATATTGTATTTCGTAATTATGAGTTAGAATATTAAAATGGGAGTAATTAAGGGATTAAAATAAATGTTTTAATTCTCAAGTACTGGATTTATCTAATTAAAGTGGTACAACTAGCTGGTTAATAAATATACTTAACTAAATTTGGTGAATAAGTTAAATAGATCTTTTATATACTTAATAAATGAATATATTTAAAAATGATTAAGGTGTGATCTATTAATAAAGTTAAGTCAGTTAATTTCGTAATTAAAGATTGGATTTTTCAGAATTAATTAATTAATTGGACTAATTAGCGATAAAAAAATAAATAATGGATTTTTCTTTCATATTAATTAAATTCAATAGTAGAGTAGTTATTAATTTTCGCACATTGATAATAGTAAAGGAGAGGTTGGCGAATTCGTTGAAGACGTGAACTAGATTTCGAGTAGAGTTAGAGTAAAAGCGCGACTTAAGGTAAGTTTCTCTGCCAATCCAAAATTGTTTCCTCGTATTATATGCTTATTATATGCATTATGTGATTAAGTGTGAATTGTGAATTTTGTGTATGTGATTTTGAGGAGATATTATATCTATGGTAGTTAAGAAGTATAAATCAAGTACTTTTGGGGTATTAAATATTTTTAAATACCTTCGAGACTTTTTAGAGAAATTAAGAAGTATTTTTGAAGTATTGTTAAGCAAAGATAAAATTTACATTTTCATAAGAAGTGAGCATCTCGGGAGTAATCCGAGGTGTCGGTTTTTCCACATCCGGATAAATGTGGAGGGTGATTAGAGCTACTACTACTAAGAAGTACAGTTTAAGTTTTGGATCTATGATCCCTTTTAAGTAAGATTTGGATCTATGATCCCTTTCAAGTGAGATTTGGATCTATGATCCCTTTTAAGAAGAAGTTATAGTAGTAGTCCCTAATCATTCAAGAATTTTAGAATTGGGGTGGTTGGGTTCCGACCACTCGGGATGACTTACTACTCGGAGGGCTTGGAATCCCTTTTAGGGGGTGTGCACACTTAAGGTAGTCGTTTCGTTTCCAACAGAGCAGTTGTGGTACCGGCATTTGTTCGGGGTGGCCGTCCGTAACCACGGTCCACCGGGCTCTACCGAAAGGTTAAGCACCGCCCTTCTAAATTACTAGGAAGTTAGAGAAGAAGTGATTTTCTTAAGAAGTTTAAAGAGAAGAATTACTAAGAGATTTTCCAAGAGAAGTTTAAGATTTTAGCAAAGAAGTGATTTTAAGAAAAATCAAGGAGAAAAGTATTTTGGTGGAGTGCGTCATTTTTATATGATATTATACAAAAATCTATTTTTAGTCAAACCTGATTATTTTACGGGGTTGGGTAGTACTTACTTAGCTCTAAAGCTAATTTTTATTATTTCTCTTGTCTTTCTCTTCTCCCTTAAATATTATCAGGTGATGAGTTGGATGCCTATGTGGATTGATGGATTGCTCAAACTTGAGTGCGAATTAGAAGATGCCTTAGTTAAACCTAGTCATGAAATTAACATTTACTTATTATTACATTAGTTTTTATTGTTTTACTTTGAGTTGCCTGTGCATTCGGTTAAGAGATGACCGAATGTGGTGGTAACACCCATTTCCCTATTTTAGACTTCCGCTGTATTTCTTCAACTCTTTGATGAATGAATAAAGTATTTCTTTTAAATATATCAATGTTTTGGGCGGGAAATTTAGGGGTGTTACAAAGACTTTAAGACTAGTCAATTAAAAATAGTTTATGTATTAATGTAGATTCAACATAACTTATTCGATCAGTGATAAAACTTAGAAAACAGAGAAAATTGTGCTTTATTTTGACTTAACTGAGTGACAATTATTTTCACATCCTCTGGTGGAATTTCTCCGATGGAATCCAAGTAATAAATCTTTCCCATCTCCACATCAATAGCAACCAACACCCAGTGGTCGTTGTATGAGAAAAATCCTTGACAGTTACCATCATATAAAAATAACCTTACCAAAATATTTTTTTCAAATAATAAATACCCTGCATTATATGGTAGTAGTGTAATTTGTCCAGGAAACCCGACACCGAGAAGGTCTGCCACATATTGGGATCTTCTATTCATTGACTCCTCAGATGCTTTTTTAGGACGGTGTATTGCACCAGATGTCCCGAACTGGACAGGCATTTCTCCTCCATTGTCCACCATTTTTTCATGAAGAGGCCTATATATATATATATATATATATATATATATATATATATATATATATATATATTGTAATGATTATATTGTCAAGTTTCAATTTCAAAAGTAATTTAAATATAAAAGGTAAAT